GTTAATCTTAAATTTGGTATGTAGTATTTTTTCTGCCTCAGGATAAGCTTTTTCATTGTAATATTTTCTGATATATTGGATAGATAATTTATCTCCCTTTTTTGAAAGAATACAAAAATAGTGAGGATGTGAGCTAAATAGCTAGTGTCTATTGTATAGCATAATTGATATATATTGAAATTTATAATATTAAATAATAATAGTTATTGTTAATAGTTACCCAAATATTGATAATTATACAATTACAAACATGCAATTCCTATGCATCAAAAATTTTTTAGATTTGCGGTATTCTAAATTAGATGAATTGTTTTAAAAATATTTATAAAATATTATTAAAGTTAGATCTGATTATTATAAATAAGTAGCCAAAAAGTTTATTGCATAAAATAAACTTTTTAGTTTCAAAATTTATATTTGCAACTTCCAATTCCAAGCATGTATTATTTTGCTAATTTAGAGATCAATCTAAAGATATTAATTATATAAATATACTTGTCAGATCTTAGCTTATATTCTTTTGCAGAAATCTCTAAAGGTAGTTTTCAATTAATATCAATTTTCAAAGCAAATACTCTGTAATTTTAGAAATATAACAAACAGTCTTGTGAATGATAGTTTAAATATATTGAGTATTAGAAAGTGTAAATTAAAAGAGAAGAAAATTGTAATATACTATTTAAATAAAACTTGTTTTAAGAAAACAAATTTTTTTAAGTAGAACAATTTAGGAATCCAAGAACAGGATCTCAAATTTTTATAAAATTTCTATGAGCTTCTTTTCTTATCAAATTGTGATTCTATACTTTTATTAACTTACTGTCTATACATTATATCTGCTTGAGTGGTCCTCTTTACAAACTTTTCATAAGACTAAAATTTGCAGTATATTTTATAATATATAATTAATTTATAATAGTATGAATAAAACTAAAAAATAAAATTAATATAATTTATTGTTTATTTTTTAGTCTAAAAAATAGAACATAAACAGCTATTGGTCTTTGCTTATAATAGCAATACAAGAATATATATTCAAAAAACTTAAAATTATAATAATATGTCTGAAGATATTGAGAATATACAATATAATAATATGTATATAGATACTCAAGATAATAGTATAATAGAAGATATTTACAATTATGAAAATAATTTTATGAATAAAGATACTCAAGATTATGAAGACAATATTTTAGATAATATTAGTTCTAAAAAAAAAGCAAGAGTAAAATAATGATAGTGTTTATGAAATGAATAATAAAAAAAATATACCAGATCAAAATAATGATTCAACAAAATCATCACCACAAATAAAAAGTTTTACATCTATCTGTAAGAGTAAATCCTGTAAAAGCTAGATCTGAAAGTATACAAAGTGAAATAAAATCACAAAAATCAAGTATTGTATAGTTGAAGTGGATAATAGAAATAGTGTTTTAAAGCAGTATAAGACTATATTTATGCCAAGTATCTTAGTTACCAGTATAGCATCATATTTATGCACTCAATATCAGATTTTTAAAGATCAAATATTAATAGCACCTGTAGTATCTTCTTCTATTGAAGGTTCTAGTATTTCAAAATTATTAACAATTAATACTATGTTTAAAAAATATGCAAAAAATATTTATTCTCTTTTTGAACCAAAACAAAATCATGTAATTTATCAATTAATAGCTTGGTTAGTTGAGGCTATAATTTTACTAGATAGTATTAATCATAATCAATTTTAAGATTTCTGTTATCCCTTAAACCATCAGTTTAAGTAGTCAAATTTGAACACTAAAATTAAATAGCAAAAAATGGCAATAAAAAAAATTTTTTATATTGAAATTTAATTTAAAATAGTAAAAATATTTTCTAAAATCTTAAATTATATGAATGTATTTTAAAACTGCAGTATAATATGATATGTGGCTAAAAAAAAATCCTGAATTTGAGTTAAATTAAATATTTTATACTATATTAGTGAAATTTTTTATAGAATCTGGGTTTTTAAGCCTCATTGGTTAACCAAACCCCAACTATATAGTATATTTTATAATGTATCATATATAGAATTAGGTGTTTTTTTATTGCATCAGATTAAATATTAGGAATATGTTTATTAATCATCTATTAAGTCATCAGTTTAAGTAGCCAAATTTGAATACTAAAATTAAATAACAAAAAAGTGCTTATAAAAAAATTTTTTTTATACAGAAATTTAATTCAAAATAGCAAAAATCTTCTCTAGAGCTTAAAAACACATGTACTTATTTTAAAACTGCAGTGCAACATAATATAAGGCTGAAAAAAATCACAAATTTGGGATAAATTAAATGTTTTACATTGTATTTAGTAAAATTTTTTATATAGCCCAGATTTTTGGTCTACACTAATTAACTCAACTCTTGATTATATAGTAAGTATGTTTCATAGTATATCATATGTAAAATTGAATGTTTTGTTTTAATTGCATCAAGTTAAATATAAGATATATCAATATGTTTATTGATCATATATATTTTAGTATAACTAAAATTTGATCACTAAATATGTTCGATTATCAAACACATTTGGTAATAATCTTAATTGCATAGAAAGTTACTCAAATAATTAAATAATTTACATAAAAGAAACCCTTCTTAATTGTAAAAATTTTATTTTAAAAATATATATTTTATTTAAAATCCATAAATATAAGGTCATTAAACCTTGTATTATTGCAGATATAAAATTGTAAATAACAGTTTTGGCTGTTATTACAGCAAAGAGGCACCTTATACATTACGTATCACAACTGACTTTTATTTTATATAGTAATTTATGATCCATGTCTATTTTATTCTTGTATTAACTATATGCACTACTGGCATGCCTCATATTGTTTTCTCTATTTTGCAAAGTGGTCTCCAGATACTAACTATTGGTTTGAGAGCTTAAAATGCTTCGTTATTTTAATTTTTTTTTCTTTTTCCAATTTTATTGCTTCTAATTTTGTTAGGCTGTTTCTGAGTTAAACTTCACTAGTGTTATTTGCAAAATCAATTAGGTTCCAGACAAGCTTGTGATGAAAATCTTTGTATTCTTGTATAGATCCTAAAGTTCGAACAATTTGATATGCATTGACTATCGAAATATCTAACAACTAAAAAAAGAGTGGTATCCAATTCTCCAGATTACTTGCTATGTATTGTAGTATGATCATAATTGATCTGCAATATTAATGCTATTCATGTGGTTATTGTAATCATCAAATATTTTTGAAATTTTAATATTTTTTTATTCTGAGCCAAATATTGTACGCACTTTTGTTACATTTGTGCTCGTTTCTCTTGGTCTTTGTTTTTCTCATTCTAATTCACATTCTGCATCAACTAATTCAAGAATTGTTGACAACATAGTAACAGAGCCATTATCTTGTTAGAAAACAGCTAATACACCATTTATTACAATACTGAAATAAATATCCTACTTGAGTTTAACACTTTTATCTATCTTTAACTTTTAGAAAAACCAGAAGCAATTTTTTGAACAGTTTTACAAGTACCAATGCTGATTTGTCAAAGATATTGAAAAAGAAAAACATTATTAAAATAATTTTCCATGTATATATTAAATGAAAATCAATAATAGGGAAGTTGTTCAACAAGATAGTAGACTAAGTATCTAGTTTGATTATATTGCAAAAAACATAGACCGATATATATTAATTACTAACTATAATAGATATATATCGATATTAATCTTCCTGTTGGGTTTTATCGATTGTGATAATAATCGATATATATTCAGTTAATTTAAAAATGATAATAATCGATCTTAATTAAAATTGATATATAATACTTATATAAAATAAAATAATAAATACATAATTTTTATTTATTAAAAACTTTATTTTACTAAAAAAAAATTTTATATTAAATTTTTTAAACTATTACATATTTTCTACAACTTCTGACCTTTTGTCCTTTTTGTCAGCAAAAAAATGAACTAGTACTTATCTTGATACTAGTTCCAGGTTCGAGATCTCAAGCCCAGTGCTATTAACCCTTTCTAGCGAAGTACAAGACCTACAAGAAAGAAAGAAAAGTTAGCAAAAGCAAAAAAAATATAGAAAATATGAACTGGTACTTATCTTAGTACCAGTTTCAGGTTCAAGATCTTAAGCCCGATACCTATTAACCCTTTCTAGCAAAGTACAAGACCTATAAAAAAGAAAAAAAAGTTAGCAACAGCAAAAAAAAAATAAAAAAGCAAAAAAATATGAACTAGTATTTATCTTGATATCAGTTTCAGGTTCAAGATCTGTCTATTAACCCTTTCTGGCAAAGTACAAGACCTACAAGAAAAAATAAAAAGTTAGCAACAGCAAAAAAAAATAAAAAAGCAAAGAAAATACGAACTGGTACTTATCTTGGTACTAGTTTCAGGTTTGAGATCTGCCCATTAACACTTCTTGGTGAAGTACAAGATCTACAAGAAAGAAAGAAAGTTAGCAACAGCAAAAAAAAAATGAAAAAGCAAAGAAAATACAAACTAGTACTTATCTTGGTACTAGTTTCAGGTTCAAGATTTGCCTATTAATCCTTCCTGGTGAAGTACAAGACCTACAAGAAAGAAAGAAAAGTTAGCAACAGCAAAAAAAAAATGAAAAAGCAAAGAAAATACGAACTGGTACTTATCTTGATACTAGTTCCAGGTTCAAGATCTCAAGCCCAGTACTTATTAACTCTTTCTGGCAAAGTACAAGACCTACAAAAAAGAAAAAAAAGTTAGTAATAGCAAAAAAAAAAAATGAAAAAACAAAGAAAATATGAACTGGTACTTATCTTGGTATCAGTTCCAGATTCGAGATCTCAAGCCCGGTGCCCATTAACCCTTTTCAGCAAAGCATGACCTATAAAAGAGAAAGAAAAGTTAGCAACAGCAAAAAAAAAATTGAAAAAGCATAGAAAATATGAACTGGTACTTATCTTGGTACTAGTTCCAAGTTCGAGATCTGCCTATTAACCCTTCCCAGCGAAGTACAAGACCTATAAAAAAGAAAGAAAAGTTAGCAACAGCAAAAAAAAATGAAAAAAGCAAAGAAAATACAAACTGGTACTTATCTTGGTACCAGTTTTAGATTCAAGATCTCAAGCCTGGTGTCTATTAACTCTTTCTAGTGAAGTACAAGACCTACAAAAAAGAAAGAAAAGTTAGCAACAGCAAAAAAAAAATGAAAAAGCAAAGAAAATACAAACTGGTACTTATTTTGGTACTAGTTTCAGGTTCAAGATCTCAAGCCTAGTGCCTTCTGACAAAGCACGACCTACAAAAGAGAAAAAAAAGTTAGCAATAGCAAAAAAACAAAGATAATACGAACTGGTACTTATTTTGGTACTAGTTTCAGATTCAAGATCTGCCTATTAACTTTTTCTGGCAAAGTACAAGACCTACAAAAAAAATAAAAAGTTAGCAACAGCAAAAAAAAATAAAAAAGCAAAGAAAATATGAACTGGTACTTATCTAGGTATCAGTTTCAGGTTCAAGATCTGCCTATTAACTCTTTTCGGCAAAGTACAAGACCTACAAGAAAAAATAAAAAGTTAGCAACAGTAAAAAAAAATAAAAAAGCAAAGAAAATACGAACTAGTACTTATTTTGGTACCAGTTTCAGGTTCGAGATCTGCCCATTAACCCTTCCTGGCAAAGTACAAGACCTACAAGAAAGAAAGAAAAGTTAGCAACAGCAAAAAAAAAAAATGAAAAAGCAAAGAAAATACGAACTGGTACTTATCTTAGTACCAGTTCCAGGTTCTAAATCTCAAGCCCAGTACCCATTAACTCTTCTCGACAAAGTACAAGACCTACAAGAAAAAAAAAAAGTTAGCAACAGCAAAAAAAAAATAAAAAAGCAAAGAAAATATGAACTAGTATTTATCTTGGTACCAGTACCAGGTTCGAGATCTCAAGCCTAGTGTCTATTAACCCTTTTTAGCAAAGCATGACTTACAAAAGAGAAAAAAAAGTTAGCAACAGCAAAAAAAAAATGAAAAAGCAAAGAAAATATGAACTGGTACTTATCTTGGTGCCAGTTCCAGGTTCAAGATTTGCTCATTAACCCTTTCTGGCAAAGTACAAGATCTACAAGAAAGAAAGAAAAGTTAGCAACAGCAAAAAAAAATGATAAAGCAAAGAAAATACAAACTGGTACTTATCTTAGTACTAGTTTCAGATTTAAAATCTCAAGCCCGGGACCTATTAACTCTTCTTAGCAAAGTACAAAACCTACAAGAAAGAAAAGTTAGCAACAGCAAAAAAATTTAAAAAGCAAAGAAAATACGAACTGGTACTTATTTTGGTACCAGTTTCAGATTTGAGATCTCAAGCCTGGTGTCTATTAACCCTTCTTGGTGAAGCATGATCTACAAAAGAGAAAGAAAACATTAGTAAAAAGACACTAAATAAAAAAACTAAATCAAAAAAATTAACAAAGATTGAATAAAAAAAAAAGATCAAATAAAAAAAAGATCAAATAAAAAAAAGATCAAATAAAAAAAAAAAATCAAATAAAAAAAAAAGATCAAATAAAAAAATAAGATCAAATAAAAAAATAAGATCGAATAAAAAAAAAAAAAAAAAAAAAGATCGAATAAAACTAAGATCGAAAAAATTGAAATCAGAAAAAAAATTAATATCGAA